GAAATCAGCCAATGCCTGGGACTTCATTAATGAGAAAATGGGTGAAGATGGCATCTACACCAATGTTGGTAATGCAGGTGGACAACTCTCAGGAGGTTAGAAATAGAGAATCGCTATCGCCAGAGCTTTTATCAAGAAGCCAAAGATTCTACTACTTGATGAAGCTACAAGTGCTCTTGATAAGAGAAATGAAAAGGAAGTGCAAGGTGCCATTGATAAGATTAGACAAGAGTTGGGTTCAATTACAACAATAGTAATTGCTCACCGACTTTCTACAATTATCAATTCAGATAAGATCATTGTGATGCAGAAAGGTAAGATCATCGAAATAGGCAATCACTAGACTCTACTCTAAAACTACCCAGAGGGAACCTATGCTAAGTTCGTAAGAGAGCAGGAGTAAAGTGAAGACAGAAACCCAGGAATGGCTGTCTAAGATGATGAGCCACAAATGACAGAGGAAAGCGAGTAAGCAAAGGAAGCAAGATTTTAAGAAGATAGCAAAAAGCAACTTATTCTAGATCAAGAAGAATCAGAGATGAAGACTAGGTAGGATGACGTTGATAAACTTGAAGACGATGAGTTTGAAGCATTCAAGAAAGATCTAGCTAAGTAAAACAAATTCATGAGATTAGTCAATATCAGCTAGCCCAAGGTCAACATCCTCATTGGTGTCTTCGTGTCTATGTGCTAGGGTCTGATCATGCCTTGGTTCGGTATACTTTTAGCCAAGATGCTGTTTGTCCTTAATAACTACTATGTGCCTCTCGGTGAAGATGTGAGAGCAGATTCAGACAAGTACTGTCTGCACATGTTCATCGCTGCCTTGATCGCCTTCTTTACTGGCTTCTTGCAAAAATTCTGTTTTGGAGTTATTGGAGAAAATGTCACTCTCAAAATCAGACAAGGATTGTACAGTTCAGTACTGTAAAAGCATATTGGGTTCTTTGATCAAAAGGAAAATGCTCCAGGTGTTATTTCTGCTTCAATGGCAAGTGATGCCTAGATTATAAACGGAGTAAGTGCAGAGGGTCTGGCTTCATCATTAGAAGCAGGCTTTGCAACTCTTTCAGGTGTGGTCATTGGTTTCATTTACAACTGGAAAATTTCCCTTGCTTGTCTGGCATGTGTTCCATTTATGATCCTTGGAAGTATTATGAATGCAAAGTTCCAGGCGGGTATGAGCTCAGATGCTGACTCTGCTTCAAAAGAGGCTAACTTGCTCGCTGGTGATGCCATTATAAATTATAGAACTGTTGCATCATTCGGAAATGAGGATTAAATACTTAGCGATTATAAGAAACTACTAGACGGCCCACTTTAGATTGCTGTTAGAAAGAGTCATGTAATAGGACTTGTTTTCGGATTTTCTTAATTTGTGCAATACGCTGTGTTCGCTGTACTCTATTATGTTGGTGCAGTTATCATTCAACATGATTACGATAACATGGAGTTCGACAAGGACAAACCAGATGAGGTTTTTATTGCTATCTTTGCCATGATGTTTGGAGCTATGGCTGCTGGACAAGCCTAACAGTTTGGTCCTGATATTGGTAAAGCAAAAGCTGCTTCAGCTAAAGTGTTCGGGATGATGGATCTTCCATCTAAGATCAATGCAGTTAATCAACCTGGCAGTGACCTTATCAAAATTAACCCATAAACTTTCAAGGGTGAAATTGAATTTAAAAATGTCTGGTTCAGATACCCCACAAGAAAGAATGACTGGATTCTAAAGGGACTAAACATGAAAATTAATTCTAAGGAAACTGTTGCATTAGTTGGTGAATCAGGCTGTGGAAAGTCCACAATTGTGTCTTTACTACTCAGATTCTATGATGTCAATTCAGGATTAATTCTACTAGATGGTTAAGATATTAGAAAATATGAATTGAAATCTCTAAGGCAAGGGATGGGGCTAGTTATGCAGGAGCCCACACTCTTCAATTATACTGTACTTGAAAATATTCTCTATGGTCAAGATTAGGCAAGCAATTCTGATATTAGAGCTGCGGCTGAAGTTGCTAATGCTTTAGAATTCATAGAGTCTTAAGAGCTAAGCAATGCATTGGACGACTCTGCTGAATCTCTTATTACTAAATTCAAGGATAATCAAAAGATTATTGTAAAAGAATTAGGTGAGAATGAGTTCAATGAAACTTTAAGTCTCCTCGAAGATTTGAAGAAAGATGAGATCAAGAAAGGTAAATTCCTAGCACAATAAGGGGATATTGATAGAAGAGGTGAAGACAAAAAAGATATGCAATTGCACAATGGTTTCTCTGTTGATTGTGGTCTGAGAGGATGCAAGCTCTCAGGAGGGTAAAAACAGAGAATTGCTATTGCAAGAGCTATTATCAGGAAACCCAAGATGCTAATCCTTGATGAAGCTACATCTGCCCTAGATGAAGCATCTCAAAGAAAAGTTCAAGTTGCTCTCGACAACATTATGAAGGATAGAACCTCTATTGTGATTGCTCACAGGCTCAGTACTGTTGAGAAATGTGATAGAGTTCTCGTTCTTGAGAGTGGCCGACTTGTTGAGGAGGGAGGATTTCAAGAGCTTAGATAAAAGGATGGAGGCAAATTTGCATAATTAGCATCTGGAATGCAAAATCCTAAAT